ACAACACAGAAGAGTAGATAAGAGAGCTGTTCATGAAGTTTCCAGCTTTTCCTTTTTTAACTTTGTTTTTAAACATATTGCTTGATATAAACCATATGTGTGTGTTGGGAGGGGGAGGAGTCATTAAATAAGAGGCCCTGACTTGATTCATTGAGTCAGTAAGCTTGTTTTTCTGCTATTTGTTTTTTCATGCAACAAAAATTTATTGAGCAACTACTATTACTTGGGCATTTAGCAAGTTTCAGGGAAAACCCAGTCGATTATGCCACTATTTTTTTAGTGCCTACTTCTGCAACTGCTAATTTTGCCCCTTAAACATTCTGAAGAGTACGGAATAAACTGACCCTGGTATCGTCATATGCAGCGCCCAGAGGTATTAAGGGCTGCACTTGTCAAAATTTCATCGTGTGAATTGTTTCCTGATGTACACGTGCAGCCCGTGATTCCTCTATGGATTGTGAAATGTGTTTCTTCAGAAAGGCCAAAGCTCCTCCCACCTTTTCTTGCTTTTCACTGCTTGTCTTTGGGCCTCTTCTCTCAGGGATAACCCATCAGCACTCTGTGTGGCCAAAGGAAAAATGAGATATGTCAGCTCTCCGATTCATGTGGTCTCACAGCAAACATCTGCTATGCTGCTGTTGAGTTAAGGATGGACATCAGGCAGAGTGTGGAGAACCTCTCTGATGGAGAAATCGGGCACTGCCTCTTCCTAGGGCTGTGTAAGCCTGACTAGTGGTTATCTAAGTCTCCTCAGGACTTGACAATCTTGGGAGGGACTCTTTTTCCTCTTGTGTTTCCAGGCAAGGAGGCACCTTATCTGGTATTTTAGAAGGACTGAGTGTATTGTGTACCGAGAATGGCTGAGAAAGGATCCCCATTTGCCACTCATTTCTCATTGTGGAGATGAGGGAACCAGTTCAAACTTTTAGGACATTTGTGACAGAACCAGGGCTAAAACTCAGATTTTCTAACTCTTAGCCCATGGCTCTCACTGCATTCCATGGTGAACTGACACTTCCTACTATGTGTCCTTTACGTAATGTATTTATAACATCATGAAGTAAGGGAATATAAAAACCATGTAGGCTTTGGAGTCAGAACAAGATCAAATCCTGGCTCTGCTCTTTTTCAACAAAAATTATTTTTAAAAAAATTTTGTAAGAGCCTGGGTCTCACTATGTTGTTCAGGCTGGTCTGAAACGCCTGAACTCAAGGGATCCTCCCGCCTCAGCCTCCCAAAGTGCTGGGATTGCTGGTGTGAGCCACCACACCTGGCACTGGCCTTGCTTCTTTAATCCATGTGACCTTGGGCAAATTACCTAATGTTCTGATCTTTTGCTTCCACATCTACTAAAGAGAAAAAAGAATGTTTATCTTCTATGGATGTTATAAAAATTAAATGAGATGATATTTAAAGATATTAGACAAGCGTATCTTAGATGTCTTATATGTTTGCTAGAAAAGAAAAAAGAGTACAGTTGTCTCTTGAGAGAGAGTTTAGATGATGATGGTGATGGTGGCAAGAGTGATGGTGGTAAGGATGATGGTGACAGAGCTGCCATTAATCAGACAGTATTCTTAAACATTTCCTCAATATCAGAGCAACTGTATGATGTTATTTTCTTCGTTTTACAGCAGGTCCTTCTATCTCAGATTCCATTATTTTCTCATTTTAACACATTCAGTTTCAGGTTCTAAGCCTAGCTATATCAACAGTCTGCTAACCAGAGAAGACATAAATATTTCCCACACATTTCCTTTTCCCCATTTTAACCCCCTTTCAGCATTGAATGACCCTGTAAGATTAACTTTGTACTTTATATGTATGTGTGGAGCCAATACATATGGGTCATTCTCAGAAATTCCTTGAACTTCTTTATGACACTATGGACCAGCAATGGCCAACCTCTCTTCTGTTAAGAATCTCAGGATCAATACATTTCCGAACCCAGTATTTTGAGATGTACAGATAAGTAAACATCGACTGCCTCTTACTGTGTTTTTATCTTGGAGGAAAGTCTGTAGATCTCAGGTTAAGAACCAGTGCTTTGGAATCAGATGACCTCTTCCTTGTGAGCTGTGTGAACCTCGTGAAATTACTACTCCTTCAGTTTTCTTATTGTAAAATGAGGATAATAATAGTACCAATCATATTACATGTATACAGAGAGCATGTGTGTGGAGCTCAGTTAAGATTAGCTCAGGCTGGATGTGGTAGCTCAAGCCTGTATTCCTAGCAGTTCGGAAGGTTGAGGCAAGAGGATTGCCTGAGCCCAGGGATTCGAAACCGGCCTGTGCAACTTGGTGAGACCTTGTCTCTATAATATATCAAGTAATTAACCAGGTGTGATAGTGCATACCTATAGTTCTGCCTACTTGGAAGGCTGAGGCGGAAGGATCACCTGAACCCAGCAGGTCGACGTGGAGGTGGCCGTGACTGTGCCACTGCACTCCAGCCTGGGCAACAGAGTGAGACTCTAACTCAAAAAAAAAAAAAAAAAGATTAGCTCATACCTAGGGTTCATTCTTGTGCAAAAGTCTGTTCTCTAAATGGGGAACTATGTCATTCAGGGTACACCCAGCAAAACATAAACCACTTTAAGGGGTCAAAAAGAGGGATTTTAATACACAAAAAATGACCCAGATGATGGAGGAGCTGAGAAGGGCTATATTCTTTGTGAAACAAGCCAGAGATCACGCAAATGGAAGCTCCTACCACTGCCAGGCTGGAGGGATAAAGGAGAGAGGTGATGGTCCCATAGTCTAAGGGCAGGGGGCTCCAGCAGATGCTGGAGCCATGGCAGCCCCATCAACAGAGCTGAAGTCATGGATGCGGGGCAGCCACTGCCAGTGATGCTGCCTGAGACAGAGAAAGAGGAGACGGCCCCTGGCTTCCTCTTTGCTCCAGCCCTCAGATCTCCCACTTAGGCTAGCCGTGGCTAATTTGGAGTCTGGGGACTGCAGTCTGGAAGGACAGTCCTAAAATACTGAGCAGAACTGAGAACTTAATATGAAAACACATAGGCCAACAAGTCTTGCAGCTAGGGCCCAGACCTCGATTGCTGGGGAAACTAATATTGTGATAACCAACATAGAAAGTTTGGAAGTGTCTTACTTCCCACTGCTGCTGGGCCTCTGAACAACAGCAGAGGTTCACAAGTTGATGTGCCCCCAGAAGGTAGAATTTGGAAAAAGCAGTGGAAAAACCTAGAAAGCTGTTGGAAAAACCTAGAAGACTGCAAGAGACCTGTCTGTGGCCCCCTTTTTGAGTGAACTGCCAGTGCCCCTCAATATCTGAGGATTTGTGTCCTGATGATACACTCCCATCCTGTCCTTTACCTGGCTAACTCCTGCAGAACTCCGCATAGACTGAGCTCCTTGGGAATCCTTCTTGCCCCTCTAGGTAGGTTGGCTGCCTTTGTGGTCTCTGTGGTTCCCCTGTCAACCACTGACTCCCCTGCACTGAAATACTTCACTTAGGACACTCTCTCCCTACTATGAGACTGTGAGCACCCTGAGAGCAGGGACTTGTTTTCTTTATCCTTGCATTCACAAGCATTCACACTCTCACTTCCTGGCCTAAGCTAGCAACTGTGGTCAGTACCAGGCTGCCAAGCATGTATGTAAGACAGTGCCAGTCCCTGCAGCTTTAATTAAATAAGACGGGGCAGAAGGTATGTGATCTTCTAAAATTACCAGTATCTTTAGTGCTAGGAACGTCCAGTGCATGCGGCCATTTAACAGGGAGAATTGTTTTTCCTAGAAGACCAGAGAAGTCCTCTCTGAGGAAGTAACGTTTGCATTAGGTATAAGAAGGCATGCAGCCTACTTATGTAGTTCATCCTCACTTGTACCCCATAGCTCTATAATAAAAATTTTTAAAAATAAAGGAGTAAGTAGGAGTTGGCCCAGCAGAGAGGCTGGGGAAAGACATTCCAGGCATAGGGAAGAGCTCATGTGAAGCTCTTTAGGTGGGGGAAGAGCACTGAGCGAAGGAGATTGAGAGCAGAGGTGTCATTGCATCAAAGCGAATGAGGCCAACAGGAGCTGTGCATCCCACTTTCTGTGCCCTGCCCTGAGTACTTTCTACCTCCTGGTTCATGTTGTATTTCTGCATATTTGGGGCTCCCACATCACACCTGGAATATCGCTTTGTGCATATAAGATGCTTATTGGGCATTTGAATAAATGAAAGGCCATTTCAGGCTCTCAACAGCCTCCCTAGCTCTCTCATCACATCTGTATCACTGACCCAGCAAGTCTCAAGGAACACAGTCCATGTGAAGAAGAAGGCTGAGTTTCTACCATTTATGGGAAACCCTCTGCTGTTGTGGCATTCTTTTAGCGGAACTCACTGTCAGTCGCCCAGTCCTTCACACTTGGAAGTCTGGGATAAGTAGTAGTGAGAATGGTGACCCAGAGATGCCAGAAAGATTCAGTCATCAAACACTTCCTTTGCTTTTGCCTTCTTTGAGATTGAGATGTGATGTGTGAAACCAAAGTCCATTCATCTCTGCTCCTTGCTAGCCATGTGACCTTGGGCAAGTTATTTAACCTCTACAGGACCTTAGTTCTCCTCTGATGTCTGTGGCGTTAATATCTGTTTGATGGGGTTGAAATGAGACCATACATACCTGCAAATACACAGCACAGCGTCTGGTAAGCACTAAATAACTGATAGCTGCTGCTTTGATTTGAATCATTACAGTTGCTATTATTATTACAATATTGGATACGGTGCCTTGACCAGAGTGAAGTCAAAGTATCACGGGGTTCTGAGTTTTCCCACACGGGCACATCTACCCTTTTGGTTTCTGTTTGAGACTGGCCTGCACGTGGGACTCCTCTTCCTCCATGTAGTTTGGCTATAAAAAAAAAAAAAAAAGATTTTTTAATGCTTGTTTTTGTTTCTTCTTTCTTTCTTCATATATACATATACATATGTATATATATATAATTTTTTTTTTATAAAGAAATCTGTTTTGTTTCCTTTCTCACAGGAGTGATTGGGGCAGATGTGAGAGGGCATGGCCTTGTCTGTGAGGGACAGCCTGTGACGTCACGGCTGGCTGTCATCTGCGGAACGTCTTCTTGTCACATGGGGGTGAGTCCACTGGGCACAAAGGCAAGGCCGCCACACAGCGGTAGGCAGTCTGGGAGCAGACCCTGAGCTGGCTGCCTCAGCCTCGGCTTTTTTCCTCTCTTCCCTTCCTGCCCTTGCGCTTTGTCTAGACAGAAACCCAGCACCCCCACCTCCAGCCCCCTCCCCAATGTCTTGCTTGCATTTGCTCTTTTTCCAGGGACCACATTACTCTTTTTCCAGGGATCAATTTCTGAAAGTCTGAAAAGCATTGAGTCTGCCTTTGACGTCACCCTAGCCTGAGAGCCCAGGCATGAGGGGGACATTGGACCCAAACGTGGCAAAGCCTAGGCCCCACAGACCCCCTCATTTCTAATGGGTAGCTGGGTCTTCTCTGCAAAGAGGTGTCTGTTTTCCTTGGCAGCTGAGCTCTCTCTCTCTCTCTCAATCAATATAAATCCATCTCCCTAGGAGCGTCCTGATGATCTATAGAATAAGGCTGCATATCATGACTTCAAAAGAACACTGATAAGCAATTTTCACTTTGTTAATTTTTCTCCATGAATTAGTGGAAAGGCTTTCTCCAAGATTGCAGTTAAAATTTAGTGCCTGCCCTAAAATTTATATCTTCTTTAAATGCATGAGTCTGAAAGCATTCCATTCCGATAAGTACCCATTTCTACCATATTTTTATTTAAAAGTCATTACTCTGTTAAACTTAGATCGACGACTCCTTGGATTTTTCCCAGATGAGTAAAATACAAGGGAGAGTGGGGGAGGACTGAGGAGATGAGCAGAGATTAGAAGGGGACATGGCCCAGGGTGGCATCACGCAGCTACACAGGAAATTATGTGCAATGTGAAACTCCTTAGTTATGTAGGGGCCACTGAGCCCTTTTTATCCTTAGAGATATATATATCTTTTTTGTTTTTGAGTTGGAATCTCACTCTGTCACCCAGGCTGGAGTGCAGTGAGTGCAGTGGCACGTTCATGGCCACCCCAGCATTGACCTGCTGGGCTCCGGCAATCCTTCCACCTCAGCCTTCCAAGTAATCAGAACTAAAGGTGCGTGCTACCACGCTATCATTTATTGTAGAGACAAGGTCTCACCAAGTTTTCCAGACTGATCTCGAACCCACAGCCTCAGGCAATCCACTCTCCTCAACCTCCCAAGGTGCTGGGATTACAGGCTGAGCCACCAAGCCCAGCCTATCCTTAGATATTTTAGTTAAGTAAGTACGAATACATTTATTTATGTATTGATCCTTGCTCTTGTGTCTGGGCCATGCGAAACCCTGGGGATATAAGGATGACAGAGACTCCCCCATTGATAAGATAGTTATAGTCGTTACTACAATATCACATAAGGCCTCAAAACACACATTCAAATTTAACTCATGGTACTAAGCATCTGTTATGTGCTAAGCATTGCGTGAGGTGCTCTCACTCACAACATCCCACTTTGTAGAGATGGTGGTGCTGGCCCCATGGGTTTCCAATGCCTCTGCCTCTTCTCATTAAGGATGGGCCCTTGGACAAGGTTCTTAAACTCTCTGGGCCTCAGATTGTTCATCTGCAAACTGCAAAGAGGAGAGAACCTGCCTCTTAGTGTTCTGAGGATTCAATGAGGTAACATCAAGGGTGGTAAGCATGTCACAGGGGTTTATTCTTGATCACTTAGTACTTTTGTTGACCGAGCAGAAAACAGACAGTCACTGACTCTGCCTGGGAGGGTCTCAGGTTGGAGAGGTCTTCATAAGCAGACATTTGTGCTGGATTTTAAGGAAGTAAATTTCCTTTTGTTTGTTGTCTGGGCTCTGGGCAGTCTTAAGTGGAACTTGTCTAACCAAGTCTAAAAATCCCAGCATATTTCTGCTCAGCCCTGCTGTAAGGCTTAGCTGTCCCTGAAGGGAGAGGTCCGTAGAGACCTAAGGTCTCTTGAAGCAGGAAGGGCCCAACCAGGGAGGCAGTCCTTCTTTCCCTTGATGTGGGTCTATAGTCATTAGCTAGTCTTCACTGGTAGTGATTTAAACCTATTTAAATCATCTATTTTCACAGGGACTCATCTAATCTGGCTTCTCCTGGGAAGTCTGAATTTTAGACATTTGTACCCCCCTCAATTGAGATTTCTGAGGAGAAGCAAATCCAAATGAATCTGAATGACTCTGTGGTGCCATGCTTCCCAGTCTTACTGTCTCTTAATGGGGATGATATGGGATATTCCTACCATACCTGTTTTACAAATAAGGAAAATAAGGCTTAGACAAGTCCAGTAATTTCCCCAACAGCACAAAGATAGGGAGTTCTGGAGCTAAGAACTCAAATCTAGCTCTGATTCTCAAGTTCACGCTTCTCAATGCCTCCTTGTATCGTGCACGATAATAGTGTCACTATAGGGGAATGAGAGAACATGGGCTTTCGTGTTGTCCAGATGTGGGTTTGCACAACACCTGCTCATGTACTTTTCGGCCCTGTGACCTGAGCGAGCTACTTAACTTCTCTGAGCCTCATATTCCTCATCCGTCCAATTGGGGATTATGATGCCAATCTCATAGGTTGTTGGATAACGTGCATTGTGTATTTCTGTACCTAACACATAGTAGACACTTAAAAATGGTGGGGATTCCTATTAAACTTTCCTAGTGATGGAAACGGATCACATGAAGCAACTGTTGGGGCTTTAATGAGTTTGATGGGCAGCTACAGTTGGCTACAATGAATGAAGGCCATAAAATACCAGTTTATTATGGTCGTGTTGTGCTGGAAATAAAGTCCCCACCCCCCACCCAGCTTTGTACTTGGGAGTGGGAAGGGACCTTCTGGGCCAAGGGGATTAATCATCAGCTTTAATGTTATGTCATGAGGGCGAGACTGTGGTCATGCTGGCATCAGAAAGTGCCTTTGATCTCCCTCAGGTGCTGGGAGCCCAGCAACAATAACACCTTTGTGAGGTCTAGGAGAAGTGCAGGTCTGAGGAAACACTCCCAGGGAAACTCAAGGACCCCCTTTGTTGTGGTTCTGGCAAATAAAACCACCATTCTCAGGGGGGAAAAAAATCACCAACAGAACACGGAGCAAAGGGGGCTGTGGGCTTCTCAAAAAGTGGTTTTCAACATGATCTAAAGGATTCTCTTTCTTCCTGTCTGCTCATTCCTGATGTTTCCAATTCAGTAGGTTAATTGAGGCAGAATTCCCAGGAACATTTTGCACTTGATACAGGTTGCTTCTTTCTAGATCACGCAAATGAATGAATGAACGAATGAAAGATCAAATAAGTGAGTATTGGTCAACACTTAGAAACTTCCTATCTCCTGTTTTCTATTACTTCCAGGAATCTGGAAGAAAAGCCTGATGTTGAACATAAGATGTACTAATAAGGCCTTTGATATTTTAGAAGACACAAGTGTGGGCTGCACATTTATCTTCCTTGTGGATGATTTAATTAACAAGGAAAAAAATGCTTTTCTTTTTTTAAACTTCATGAAAGCAGAGCTGCTTGTTCAGAGTTAATTACTACCAAGTCACCAAAACCCCAGATAATACACAGTGGGGGTTAGCCAGAGGTTGAAAAGTCACAGGGTAAGATGGAGCTGATCCTTGTCATTGCCCCTGCACCCCATTTCTTGAGCTGTCAAACTGGGTTGTAACTTGGCAACTTGTCATTCAGATAGTGTGTCAGATGGGAAGAGGACCCTGGGGGTTGGGGTAGGGAGGAGTATTGAGGAGGAAAGTTTTGAGCAGAACAGTACTTGATGAGAGCCGGGAAATACATGTGCATCTTAAATCACTCGGAACTGAAGTTTTCCAAGTCTTAGATGAATGTAAAGATAATGGTTCTCTCGTTGACACATGGAGTCTCAAAGGTGTAGGCCCACAAGCTGGCCCTACCAATTTATGGGCAAGGGTATTTACCCATAAAGCTGTGTTCAGGACTAAATAAAGTAATCTTTGTAAATGACTTGACATTGCTCTTGGCACAAAATACCAAACATGGCCATGTTATTAAAAATGATACATTAAGGCTAGAATGATTCAGCTGGTTATGAATTAGAATTAGAGACATCAGTATGAACCCATGTTTAACTTAACAGAAGCACACATGGATGCACATAGAAATAGTTTATATATGTTATCCTAACTTTGTCAATGGATATGGCCTAGAATCAAGGACACCCCAGGGGTTAATTGTTACAAACACACCTGGTGCCCAGATCTTGCTTTCTAACACCATTACCTGATAAAATAAATAAACAAGACTCCTTGGAGAAATGGCTGATTCTAGGATTGGGGCAGGAAATATACAAGATGAGCCTGGAGCCTCTTGTAGTGCCAGAAATTAGTAAGTGCTAAAAATAAAAAACAAAAAATTATGAAAATACATCAGAGGGAGCCAACTAAGGGAGCTCCTGGTGGCCACAACTGGAACAATTTAGTGAAATAAAGTATTATTGGATTATAACTCAAAGTGTAACATAAATATTCATAACTGACATAAAGATTGTACACTAAAAAAATGATTGAATAAACAAGTGAATAGAAGAGACAAATCTTCCATGTAGAAGAATTCCAGATAATTTACGTGAATACTGTACCATCAAGGAGGTGGAACATAACTTTCTACCCTTACGTGTGGGCTGCACATAGTGACATCCTTCCAAAGAGTATGGAATGGAAAGTAGGGAAGAGAGTAATTTTAGATTGGGGAAATATGACAAACACTACGTCAGCCATGTGACAAGGTCAACATCAACAGCAATAAGTCATATTGGTAATGTGTACTGTTGACATGATGTGATGAGAATGGCATTTTGTTTCCCTAAAACATATAACCCCAGTCTAATTACTGGGAAAACATCAGACAAATCTTAGTTAAGGGACATTCTACAAAATACTTGTCTAGTACTCCTCAAAACTGTCAAGGTCATCAAAAAACAAAGTCTGAGAAACTGCCCCAACCAAGAGGAACCTAAAGAGATGTGACAAGTAAGTGTAGTGTGGTATCCTAGATGGGATCATGGAACAA